AAGGAAAGGGAAATGGAGGGGAGGGGAGGGAAGGGGAAGGGAAGAAAGGAAAGGGAAATGGAGGGGAGGGGAGGGAAGGGGAAGGGAAGAAAGTAAAGGGGGAGGGGGGAATGGAGGAAAGGGGAAGGGAGGGGAGGGAAAGGGAAGAAAGTAAAGGGAAGGGAGGAAAAGGGAAGGGAGGAAAAGAAAGGGGTAGGGAAAGTAAGCGGGAGGGAAGGGAAGAAAGGGAAGGGGGAGGAAGGGGAATAGAGGGAAGAAAGTAAAGGGGGAGGGGGGAATGGAGGAAAGGGGAAGGGAGGGGAGGGAAAGGGAAGAAAGTAAAGGGAAGGGAGGAAAAGGGAAGGGAGGAAAAGAAAGGGGGAGGAAAAGTAAGCGGGAGGGAAGGGAAGAAAGGGAAGGGAGAGGAAAGGGAGGGAGGGAAGGGGAAAGGAAAGAAGAATTGGGAAGGGAACAGAAGAAGGAAAGGGGAATGAAAGGGAGGGAAGGGAAACAGAAGGAAAAGGAAAGTGTTGGAAGTTAAAACCCACCTCTCTCCTAGAGAAATGAAATATTTTAGAAAATATTAAAAAGGCAGAATATTTCCCCTAAAAAGAAAAGTAGAAACTCAGGCAAAACCTCAGCCTCTCCCACCTTTGTGAATGGGGCATTTCTTCCAACAGAAGAGAAGGAAAAGGGGAGGGAGGAGAGGAAAGGGAATGAGAGGGAAAGGCGGATCTGCTTGCTCTGTGCCCTGGAGATCCCTAGTGGTCCTGGTCTTTCTTTCAAGGTGCAAACCCAGGGGGAGGATTCCCAAAGGTGTTTTTCCCCCCTAGAGGCAACTGGACTTTCTGGTTTTTTTTTTCTTTGAAGACATTTCGCTTCTCCTCCAAGAAGCTTCTTCAGCTCTGACTGGATGGGTGGGGGGGAGAGTGGTGAGGAGAAGACTTGTAAATGACCAACTGTCTGCAAGGAATATAAATCCTTCCATTCCCCACCATCCAGTAAGAGCTGAAGAAGCTTCTTGGAGGAGAAGCGAAACGTCTTCAGAGAAAAGCAAGAAGGTCCAGTTGCCTTTTGAAAAAGCACCTTCGGAAAAACTATGACCTGGATGACTGAGAATCTCCATAGACAAGGGGAGGATCGGAGCAGTCCCTGGAAAATTAGGGCAGCGGTTCAAAGCTTACTGGAAGTCTATTCTGGCCTTGCTCTTATTGGTGCCACCAAACGAGGGCTGCAAAAATTCAGGCGGCCCTTAAGAGATTTATCAGTCTTGGGAGCTCACGCCCTGTGTAGCAATCAATCACGCTTTTATGAGCTTCGGGTTGTGTGTAAATCCTCTTCTGCAGAAGGAGGTTATATAGGATGCCTTTTCGGATAGGAAAGGAGTTGTGGGCTAAGGTGCTTTTTCAAAAGGCAACTGGACTTTGTTTTTTCCTTGAAGACGTTTTTTTGCTACTCATCCAAGAAGCAGGTGAAGAAGCTGGATCAGGAAATGACCTGGATCAGGGGTCTCCAACCTTGTCCACTCTAAGACTTGTGGGCTTCAACTCCCAGAATCCCTCAGCCAGCAAAGCTTGTCAACGTTAAGACTTGTGGACTTCAACTCCCAGAATCCCTCAGCCAGCAAAGCCTGTCAACTTTAAGACTTGTGGACTTCAACTCCCAGAATCCCTCAGCCAGCAAAGCTGATAAGGTTGGAGACCACTGATCTGGATCACTGAGAATCTCCATAGACATCTGCTCCCTGCTCATGGATTGCTGGTTGCGCCATGCTTTGGCATCAGTATTGGGGGGATTTTGTCGGTCAGGTCATCTGAAGAGCATCAGAGTGAAGATCCACAGCATTTAGCACAGAAAACCTCCTCTGTCAGTTTCACCACACACCATGATTTGCAATAAATAAGGGGGGGGGGATTTGCCCTAAGCTGCTCCATTTCAATCATCTCCTGTATTTTGCACGTTTTGTATTGGTTTATGAGATTTTATAAAGCTTTCTCATAGCTCTGGGTGGCGTACAATATGAAAGCCATTTAAAACACTACAAAAGAACAGTGCCCAGGAAAAAACAACAACCGAACACTCCTAAAAGCCATTTGTGGCACAAAGGACCACAAAGGTTCATTCTAGATGCAAACTGGATTGCACTGTTGCACATCAATATTTTACATTTTTTTTCTGAATAATTCACGTGAAGGCAGTGCCAGAAGCTCTGGGAACGATCTAGCTAAAAACATGATGGCTCACTTAGAAAAGCCAAGCTCCAGCTGGATATTGTACACAAATATGCTGACCTGGGTTATTTACTTGGCTTTGGATTAGCGTGTTGTGCAAATTCAGCCGTGATGAAAGCTTCACAATCTTGCCAGTTTTCTCATCCCGGATGATCCAAATGATGGTGTTTGCAGCTGCTTCCCCCCACCCCCATCTACACAACCCTGAGATCACTTTCCTAATTATTCATCCAATTAGATATTACACGAGGAATTATACTTATGCACTCCAAATGTAAATGTACTATTTTACTTAGCTTATAAAAACAATTTAAAGCGAACTCCTACTATGCTGATCTCCCTGATCTAACATTCAAATTTGCAGATGCCCACTTACTTAAAAACTAATTTGGGCATGAACCTTTTTTGTTAAACAACAGAGGGCAAAATCAAAAGGAGGTGTAGTTTATAATAAACTTTGAGGAAACGTTTTGAAGATTAAAGACAATTGAGTGCTAGGCAGATTCTAATGGAAAACAAAGGTTCTTTAGCATTTCTCATAGTTCTGGGCAACTTTCATAGCCTTCAAACATCTGGGGTCACATCCGTTATAATGTTAGCCTCCATGCTGGAAATTTCAGAGTGTAAGCAATGGAGTAGTTCCCCCCCTTTTTCCCCCTGTGAAAAAAATACTGGGGACTGGAGTAACATTTCATGTCAAGCAGTTCTCAACTTGCAACAGTTCATTTAGTAACCAAAGATAAAGGCACCAGGGAAAAAGTGGCGTATGATTGCTTTTTATACTTATAACTGATGCAGCACCCACATAGTCACGTGATCAAAAATTGGATGTTTGTCAATGGGTTTATATTTATGACGGTTGCAGTATCCGGCGATTATGTGAATTCTCCTTTTGTGACCACCCGACAAGCCAAGTCCACGGGGAAGCCAGATCCACTTAACTGTTCTGACTGAGGCTTCCCAAGAGCATGAAGCAAACTTCTGGTACTGACAAAAAAAAACCCTTTTATTATGTTACTGTGAATTTCTTTTTCACATCCAGCAGACTTTCAGGGGGGAATTTATAGTCATAGACCTTATCTGGCTTGAAGAGCTGCCAGGCCAATATCTTCAAAACTTGGCAAGGAGTCTCTGAGAGCCACAAACCAATTAAGTGAACTAATTGTCTCCTGCAAACTCCACTCCTCTTTCGCTTTTTTATTCCCTATGGGAGGAGCCATTCATCTTCCACCTGTGGCCTTACTCCCAAGTCGATCCCTGTTCTTTAGCTGTTTCCTTTGTTTGGTAACTCTGCACATGAACATACTGGGAACAGGCTCCAGCTGTTCATCTGCCTCACTGATGTCTGACTCTGAAGGCAGCTGATAACTGTCAGACGGCCCTGGTCCCATCTCTGCCTCCAATACAGAGCCTTCCCCAGACTCCAGGACTGGCCCATGTTCCTCCCCAACCTAACTGTCCAAATCTGCTGCCAGCTCTGCTGGTGGGCCATAACATTAACACCCGTGTTACTAACTTAATAACTCAAGGTCGAAAAACAGAGCAACATTCACTTAACAAATGTCTCGCTTAGTAACAGAAATTTGGGGCTCAATTATGGTTGCAAAAGTGAAGACTACCTGTGCTGTAGTATCCCCAGCCCTGGTAAGCTTTCAATTACCTGCATTTGCAAGGAAGTTATGCAGAGAGCTGTCAATGGGCACAATCTCCATAACAGCACAGTATAGAGCTCTCCTTAGTACCAATCTAGGAACAACAGTGATTATTTTAATCTTCGGCAAATGTGATTTGGGGCTAAGGCTGCAACCAGTACATGTAATTGGAAAAAAATACCATTGATAATTAATATCAGGAGTAATTTATTTTGTCCATTACAATTTTAACATATTTATATATTACATAATATTTGGACCATTACAAAGATTGTACAAACGGTATTACCACTAGAAATTAGTGCAAAAAAACCCACCAACCCCACGAATGCAGCTTCAACTGAGCTAATAGAACCAAAAATATCATCTCCAGTCAAAGCAATTTGATACAGTTAAGCATCACGTGCAATTCAACATATGTACATGATTTGATCAAAGAACATTGGGATAAATTAATATTGTTTATTCAATTTACAGAAAAATGTATTTTTCAAAAGACCAACATGCTCCCCACATAAGAAGCTTGACAGATTAGGCTGTTTCTTTTTTAAACTCATTAAATCCTGATGGTTGTAAGTTTCAGTTCCACGAGGGAGCAAAAAGCAAGCACTAGTAGGTGCACTGGCCCATCCATTGGTCTTCTATAATTCTTCTTCTCGATGGCTTGTCCTCCATATGGGTAGAAATCTAGAAATGCTACATTAGACAAAACTTACTGTGCACATATATTTGTTCTCACATTAATTTCCAATAGGATTTCAGGGATTTGAAAATATTAGAAATTATGAATTAGTATGGATTGAAGGCTTCAATTTCTCTGGTCATTGCCTGAAAATGGAAAAAAGAATACATAGCAATCAAGCAACATTTTAATTGGCTGTGTCACTTCCTTCTATTGTTGAAGTATAGTTTTGTCTAATGTAAATTGTGTTGCAGAGGGTTTGGTGGGGCAAGCAGGCATTATCTTCTATCTCCCTTCAAGGACAGATTCCTTTCTTATCTCATGAAATTGCCAGCATTTCCACTTCAGGTGAAGTCAGAATTCTGACTAGCATGAATGAGCTTCATCACTTCAGGGTGGCTCTTCTGATAAGACACAATGTTGGTTCTCTGGCTTGTTTGCCAGATACCAAGCCAATTGCTCAAGTTTCCAGCTCTTGTTTTGTTGGAAGAAACAAAACAAGACTGGACTGACACATTAAAAAAAAAACAATTGAAAGTTC